CACGCGCCCTATAGCAAAAACCTCTACAAAAAAAGAAAAAGAAAAAAGAATTGCAGCCTCTCTCCTGTTTCTTTAGGGCAGGCAGGTGGTGTGATGGTTATGAGCGCTAGACTCCCATGTGGATGACTGTGGTTTAGTCCTGGACCTGGCGGCTTGCTTTCTCATTTTCCTTCTCTCTATCTCTCTCTCTCTGTCCCTTTCTGGTCAAATTAAATAAAATAAAGTTAAAATAATCCTTGAAAAAAAATCATGACTTTTCTTACTGTATGTATGTATGCATGTGTGATGTGTGTATGTGTGTGTGTATATATCCCAAAACAACCTTTTTTTTTTTTTTTTTTTTAGGGGTTTTTCTTAAAAGGCCATGTGAGTTGCCAGAATGACAGAGAGAGACAGAAAGCGAGAAACTACCCCCCGGGAAGATGGCCACACCGCAATCCCTTCTCCTCCATTCTCCTCTCAGGGTCTTGGGCATGCACGCACACGCGCCCTACATGAATTTAAGCCACCAGGTCTGGGACTCAAACTGTAGTCAACTACATGGGAGCCCAGCAACATAGCCATTATGCCAACTGCTGGTCCCTCAAAACAACCCTTTTAAAAACTCTTCTATTTTATCTTCCTGTGACCCTTTGTTTCCCCACCATTCCCAGAATCCCTTTAAATTTTGAGACCAGCAGGTGGCGTGGTGGTTAAGGTGCTGGACACTCCCACATGGCCGACCAGGGTTCGAGTCCTGAATCTGGTGGCTTGCTTTCTCACTTCCTCTTTCTCTCATTCTCACCTTCTGTCTCTCTCTGGTCAAACTAAAAAAAAAAAAAAAAAATGAACAAATGAATAAAATAAAATAAATAATTATTTACAAAAGAAAAAAAACAAAAAAAACTTTCATCTAAGCTGCCTGCAAGAGCGTCTAGGCTTTGGGGCAGAGGTAGGATATTGAAGAGTAGACTCCAGAACATGCTGATATATTTATTTCCCCTCTTCGTCTTTATTTTTTCATGAGCTTTTTTTTTTCCAATTGTGATTTCTAGTTTCCATTATAACCATTGTACATCCTTGTAGAGTACAGTGTGGTTTTTGAGGGCATGGATACAGTATTCCATAATCAAATCAAGAATATAGACATAGTAATCTTCTTTGACATTGAACATGACCTTCTGTTGTGCACATTCACATTTAATACTAGTTCCACTGGTTTTCCCCCCCATTTTTTGAAGTATGTACTGAATCTTCAGTGACATTTTTTTAAATGACATTTTTTGCTCTGCTGTGGTACACTGTTCCATAATTTATTCCACTTGTTTACATGCATTCTTGTGTCAGTCATTTTCTTACAACCCTTTTCAAGTACCTCCCTGTACAGCTTCTCTTTTCTACCATCACACTCTCTCCTTTTGTACCATTGAGTCCTTCAGTTTCTGCCCTAGAGTGTGTGCATTCAGTATATGTTAAGTGAGGATACATAGTATTTTATCTTTCATAGCTTGGCTTATTCTGTTTTTTGTTTGTTTTTGCTTGAAGTCACATGCACTTGCTAGAGAGAGGGGGAGAGAGACAGAGAGAGAAAGCACCACCCCTCAAGGAGGTTAGTCACACTTCCATTCTCCCTTGGGATTTTTGGGCATGCATGCACATGTGCCTGGTGTGTTTTTCAAACTGCTGGGCCCAAGACTCGAACCATATAGTTAGCTATGTGGGATCCAGATGCCCTAACCACCATGCTACTAACTGCCCTCCTCCTTCCCTTGCCCCCATTTTTATTTTTTTCATGAAAGAAAAAAAAAAAGATGAGTACCCTCAGTGAGTCTCACTTTATTCCTCCCTCCCCCTGCTGAGCTTTGGAGTTAGTCAGAATCACACGCACACTCACATTGTGCCCAGCAAGTACAGGTCGCCCCAAAGACCAAGCCTCCGTCTTCCGTATGGCCGCCAGCATTGCAGGGTGTTGAGCTACTGCACTATAGCTGGGCCTTGACTTCTCATGCTTTCCATTTCATTCATCTTAACCACCTAATCCAGTCTAAACAACTAATTAACAAATTAAACAACTCTTCATTGAGTATGCCGGAAGCACGCTGGGTTGGTGAGTGAGGCAGGCTTGGTCTCTGTCGTCACAGACCTTCTGCCTGGGGGAGAGCAGCACTGAACCAGTACGGCATGAAGGGCAGTGGTGCCCAGAGCTATTGGAACAGCAAGCTGGGGAGGCCGCGTCCGTTTCCCAGGTGTCTCTCAGAATGCCCAGTGAGTGCTAATACAAGCTGAATAAATAATCCCCAACACTCTCGCCTACTTGTCAGCGTGTCAGGAAGGCTGCACCTGGACTCTGGTGGGACCGTGGATACCGCAGGTGGACAAGACTGTGAGGAGAAAATGTATGACAAGGGCTTTCTCCTGTTGCTTTTTTTCTAGTGCCAAACATCAGCTTGAACGTGCTGCAGCCCAGTTTTCCTGAGATCTTGCTGGAATCTCACATGGTCATGATCCGGGTACTGTAGCCCCTTCTTCCATGGCTTCTCTAAGGGCTCTTGGGCAGCCACAATTTGGATCATAAATCACTAGCCATGGTATAGATTGACTGCCCCCTTGTGGAGGGTTTTGAAAGTCTTCACTTACTGGTTTCCTTGATCTTCAAAGGCATTTCTTACCATAGAATTAGGATGGGTGGGGGACTGGCAGTTAGGGTACTGGCTATGTCGCTAGACTCCATGGAGTTAACTGTGGTTCGAGTCCCAGACCCGGTGGCTTAAACTCACACTGGGCGTGTATGCATGGGTACCCAAGGTCCCGAGAGGAGAATGGAGGAGAAGGGATTGTGGCGTGGCCATCCTCCCTGGGGAGTGATTTCTCGCTTTCTGTCTCTCTGTCTCTCCTTGCTCTCTGACAAGCACATGCACCCTATAGCAAAAACCTCTCCAAAAAAAGAATTAGGATGGGTGGTGGTGATGACCACCACAATACCAGTAAACACTTATGGAGCTCCTGTGTGCCAGACACTCCGCTGAGCACTGTACATATATCCACTCATTTTATTTATTTATTTATTTATTTATTTATTTACTTATTTATTTATTTATTTATTTATTTGGAGAGGTTTTCACTATAGGGCGCGTGCGCGCGCCAGACAGAGAGAGACATAGAGACAGAAAGTGAGAAGTCACCCCCCGGCGGGATGGTCACGCCGCAGTCCCTTCTCCTCCATTCTCCTCTTGGGATCTTGGGCACACATGCACACGCGCCCGGTGTGAGTTCTAAGCCACCGGGTCCGGGACGCGAACCACGGTTTACTATGTGGGAGTCCAGCGACATAGCCATTACGCTAACTGCTGGTTCCCTACATCCACTCATTTAATACACTCTTCCCAGTAGGCAGGCGAAGGAAGTGAGGCATAGAGAGGTTAAAGAACCTGCCCAGGGCCACACAGCTAAGTGTAAGAAGTGGATCCAGCTTCAAAGTGACATGGACTAGTGGCTACAGTGCCACTGTAGTTTTCTGCCTCTGAGTGATTTGCAATCCATTCAGGTATAAAATAGCAACCATGAGCCCACTCATATTCCTTGAAAGAAATTGTTTAATTCTTCTGTATGGCCTTTTTAGTATGAACCACAGTATTCATACAGGACATAAATATGACATAACCTAAATAGATGTGCAGTGTAGCTATGGTATTGAAATGTCACGAAGGGTGTTTAAAGGAAATAAAAGTGTTCTCTGGCAGGGGCAGTAATGGAAGAATGGTTGATTCTTTTTTAAGGTTTTCTAAGATTCCTTGTTTGTATTTTCTATCATTAATAGCTGACTGAAGTTGTAGCATCAAAGCCTTAATAAAAATTGAGAGAGGAAATATTTAAATTAGGAAAACTCTACTTACTAGCTTAAATTGTCCCTGTGAGTTGGGGCAATTTTGGTTTTGATGGTTCATAAAAGACCCCCTTATCCTGGCTTATGGAAACCCGTGCTCTGCAGGGATTGTGTTTAAGAGCCACAGTCTCTCAAGCAGACATTGATTATCACTGCAGCTCCAGGGCTGCAGGGAGGGGTAGCCATTGTTATTTGTCCCCTGGTGAGCCATTGTCAAGTGGACTTTCCTGGAAGTGATTATGTAAGCAGTACTCAGTAAATGTAGTTGGCTTACTTCACCAGATTGAAGCCAGAAAATTCAAATGTTGTCCTTTTTGCACGTTGGGAGGTGATGAGTTGACATTAAGCAATCTCTAGGTCATTTCTCTCTGACTTTCTGCTTGTAGCTGTCACTGTGGCCTGATGCCATCGCTCTTCTAAATATGTGCTTGTCAGTTGGACTATCATTCTGGGACTGGGCAGAATTTTAAGACTAAATCTAAAGAGTTTCATTTCTCCTTTCATTATCTAAGAGGTAAAGAGTCGAAGAAGAAAAGAGATATAAGTGAACTTTCGTATTCAACCAATGCAGAGTCAGGAAGGGGTCAGGCCAAAATACTGAGTCTAGACTACAGAAACTGCAAGGAGAGGGCCCTTTTCAGCCCTCTGCGTGCAGGCCTGAGCCCTGTGCAGAGAAGGCTGCTTGCCTGGTGAGTTTGACTGGAACGTGCCCATTTAGATTTTAAGCATAGAAAACCACTTACAAATAATGTTACAGTTTTTCTTACTTCCATCTCTTGAGTTACTAAAGGAGCCAGATTTCCTCAGTGGACAGGATTCCCCTGGTTCGTTACAGTTCTGACTGGAGTCCCTGTGTTTGGGACTGAACTGCCCTGGTTTAAAGGAATTAATTTCCCTCAGCAGTTATTCCAGGGATGCAGAATAATCTATTCCTCTGAAGCCCTTCAGATGGCCACAATGACTTGGGGGCTGTGCAGCTGGCCCCGTGGGGTCTGACACACCCTCCTGCCATGGCACTTCTGACCCTGCGGGGGCATGTAGCCACCACAGGGAGGCCTGCAGACTGTCCCAGGCCCTCAGCAAGTTGGATTTGTAATACTCTGGGTGGCAGGTAAGTGGCCAGACCTTGGGTAGACCAGTGGTCCTCAGTTGAGGGCGATTTTTCTCCCAGGGTATCTGGCAATATCTGGAGGAATTTTTGGTTGGAATAACTGAGGGTGTGTGTGTGTGTGTGTGTGCACATGGCATCCAGAGGGTAGAGGCCAGGGATACCAAACATCCTACGGTGCACAGGATGGGCCACAGCACTGACTTAGCCAGCCCGCGATGTCGGCAGTGCCAGCTGACCTCGCTCCTGGCATCCGGCACCCTTTCCGAGGAAACACCTTCTCAGTTTGTCCTGATGAGGAAACTGACCCCTGTCCTGGTGGTCAGTGTCTGGAACCCTGACCCTCTACCTTTCTGGTTTTATCATGTGGACAGGTTATTGGATGTTCTTGGTGCCTGGGTTAGTGGGGTCGAGTCTGGATCCTTCAGGCTAAAGCATGTATTGGGAGTGATTTCTCTCCCAGTGGGCGGAAATGTTTTCTTGGAGGGCAGAAAACCTTGCCTTTTTAGTATGAACGACAGGTATTCTTACAGGACATAAGTACGACATAACCTAAATAGACGTGCAGATAGCTATGCTATTGAAGTGTCATGAAGGGGGTTTGAAGAAAAGAAAAACGCTCTTAGGCAGATGCAGTAATGAAAAATGAGAAACACTAGGCTGAAGTAGTCCTTTCCAAGTCCAGGGGCTCATGAGAGTTTCTGCTTTCCCGTCTGAATTTGGCCTCTGAAGGGAGCAGATGCAGAAACTCTGCTTTTATATGCACCCCCCCACCCCCGCCCCCAACACTTGGCTCTGCCTTGTGGTATTTCGTGCCCATTGGAAACATTGGTTCCTTCCTTGCTTTTCTCTCTCTAGCATAGGGGTCAGAATGGACTAGCTCTGGTGGGAAGTGGGGGCCTATTTGTTTAAGGGACAGAGGGCAGTAGACAGTGGCCCTCCTACAAGGGAGGCAGAGGGCTTCCTCTTGATGCGTGGTGGGAACCAGAGACACCTGTGCCTCCCACTCTGTCAGCCTGAGATCTCTGTCTTGACTAGTTTTTCTTTGCCACCTTTCTGCAGGGGAACAATGGCCTCAAACCCAAGGACAATGAGTTCACATCCAAACCCTGGCACTGGCCTATCAACTATCAGGTAGGGCCTGAGGCTAGAGCTCCTCCCAGGAAATGGGGCCAAGAAAGAGACCATTGAGACCTGGCGGGTGGGGTGTTCTGGGCTGGCAGGGTGAGGCCTCGCCTGAGTGGCTTGGCCAGAGCCAGGGTTCTGTTTTCTGCCCTGGCTCTGACCTTATCCTCCTGGAGCTCATGTGGAATTTACTTGTTCTGGGCCTTCTGTCCAGGCTTCTGTCTATGGAGGTGGCCAGCCCCCCACTGCCCACTAGAATGGGTATGGCTGGGGATGAGCTGGGCCCTGGGTCAGCGAGGTGTCCTCTGTCCTACAGGGCCTCCGCTTCTCAGGGATCAACGACACTGACTTCCGAGTCTACCTGCTCGGGAACCCGGTGAGTGCCGGACGCTCCTGGCTGGAGCCCTCGAGCACTTGGCTCTGGAGAGCCGTGACTTTCCTCTCACCCTCCTGTTCTCATCTCCGTGCAGGTGGTCTGGTGGCTGAATCTGTTGAGCATTGCCCTCTACCTCCTGTCGGGGAGCATCATGGCCATAGCTATGCAGAGAGGGGCCCAGCTGCCAGCAGAGGTTGCAGGTCAGGTCCTCTAGGCGCTCCCGGTGACAGTCACCAAATATTCAGTGCTGTGTGGAACGCTTGACAGCCTCCTAACAACCCTATAGGGTAGGGCATTACCCCTGTCTTTTGTGTTTGGAAACCAAGGCTCCTGCGTAGAGATCGGGCCAGGACCCAAGGCTAAGGAAACGATAGAGCTGAGGCCCAGATCCCAGTCTGCGCCAGAGCCTTCCCTCTGAACCTCTCGGCACTAGGAGCGGCCCTCTCGTCTCCTCTGTCCCTGCCGTTCCAGGGCCTGTCCTCTGGTGGGGTAGAGAGGAGCCCTGGGGCATAGTCCGTGGGCCCATCCCAGAGCTGCTCCTAGTAGCCTTAGTGCCAGACCGAGCCCCATAGTATTTATGGTGTTCACACAGGCTCTTCATGGGCTCCGCTGCTCCTGCCTGAACAGCTGTGGCCCCAGACACCCCTCACTCCCCTCCATCCTCATCTCTGCCCTGACCTTTGCACCTGTCCACAGCCAGCTGTGGAGGATTATGGTTTCTTTGGAGCCAGGCTCCCTCCTGCCCAGACCTGCATCAGGCTTCCTG